ATGCCAGAAGCACCTACATACACCTGTCGTACTCGCCTTAACTGCCCACACTGTACACGAAAATTCATCCACCTCATGGGGCCTACTCGGCCATATGCGCATCCATGAAAACCTGCCGCAAAACACATCAGCGCACCTCTCCTCGCCAGCACATACACCCCAGACGAACCCACCCCACATTCCTCGTCACAGGCAACGAATCGGCACCTCTCATGTGTGGAAGGCGTGCTCTCTGACCCCTTCTCCATGTGGCCTGTATGGCATTCTAACGCATGTGAGACCTGAGCAGCTCACTTTCCTTGTGTAAAAATTCGGTGCGTTGTGTTGGAGGGAGCAGGTCGTGTGTGGCACGCGCAGGAGGGCTATCTAGCATTGTTTGCAAGTACGCCCAACCCCCGCATCAGTTGACAGCCGGCCCAGACGGTAGACTGGTGCCCGGAAAGGGGAAAAAGGTCAAATCGGCGCAAGTGTACCATCGTCATTAATTAATTCACGCTCATGTAGCCATCTCTGCGCCCACCACGCTGGGGAGCATATGCAGGATATCTTCCGAATCGACGATCGAACTCTCACTAAGTTCACGCAACTCAACCCCAACTGTGCGCGCACTGTGTCCGTTTTCACCATCTTTTAGAGAACTTTGCCGACGGTTCGACGAAATTGATCTCAAGGGTAAACACCTAAGGCGTGTGCCTTTGTTGCATTCTGCCTGTTAAAAAGCCTGATTTGAATGGTTGATGCGATATTGCGTATGATGTACTGTACAATGGGGCCAGGTTATTTGAGGAGTGAATCGCTGATAAGTTTGACATATCAAGACGAACGAAAGAGAGTTTGGGGAACAGCCAGTCGAAAGTCCTTAATGCGATTAGCCCATCCCATAGCGGAGTGGTGTATAGAGTGACTGCATATGTGAACGAAGTCGGAACAAACGGAGAAAGTGAATTCGCGGACCCAAAAAGAAATGTTAATAGTAAAGACTACCCTGAAAAATGCGGAAGAGCTATTACCGGTCACAAGACTTGAGGGTTATGTTGTAGGATGACAACGCGACTCCTCATCAAACGAGAACTGCCAAAGCTTTTACAAGCATCGATGGCATAAGAATTCCTCTACGGGCGATTCGCCCACCCGAGTTTAGTCGTACTGGACAGGCGAGGGAATATTCATGACGAAGAACCAGTCACGTAGGATTTGTGACAAAAATAAAATGGCTGAAAGTTGCTTTGGTCTAAGCCTGGGATGAAATGCCCATTACGTTCGTTAATCAGTTAACTGAAAGTACGCTATTGGCTTAAAAAAATAGCCT